AATGCAGACACTGGGGACGCAAAGCTTCCTCTGTTGGTACATATTATTTATAATATTTTCTCCTTCACTCCTTGATGAATAATAAACATAAAGGGGTAAACTGACACACACATGAGGACTCATTCTGTAGTGAATGACTCCTATACAGAGACTTCAATAATGTACAAAAGTTGTTAGAAAGCTTTCCATCATCTCAGTCAGAGGCAGAGGACATGAGATTTAAAAAATTGGTAGAGATGTTATCTACAGGCATGTCATTTTTTAAGAGACATTAGTCACTTTCTTTTCTTTTTAAAAAATATACTTTATTGATTGATTTTTTACAGAGAGGAAGGGAGAGGATAGAGAGTTAGAAACATCGATGAGAGAGAAACATTGATCAGCTGCCTCCTGCACACCCCCCACTGGGGATGTGCCTGCAACCAAGGTACATGCCCTTGACTGGAATCAAACCTGGGACCCCTCAGTCCCCAGGCCGATGCTCTATCCACTGAGCCAAACCAGATAGGGCTAAATCATTTACTCTTGCAGGTCGCCCAAACATTACTGAACCCAGAATTTTAATGCAAGTAAATTTATCCAAAGATTTTTGAGTACCTATTAAGTACTAGGAGTTCTAACTAATATAAAGACAAATAAAATCTAGCTCCTTCATTCAAGAATCCATGGTCAGCTTAGAAATCATGATAAGGTAAATACAGTGAGGGAGGTATAAAGTGTGTCTATTAGCTCAGGCTGCCATAGCAACATGCCACAGACGGGGTGGCTTAAACAACAGGAATTTATTTCCCCCAGTCCTGGTGGCTGGGAGTGTAAGATCAAGCTACTGACAGGGTTGGTCTCTCCTCAGGTTTCTTTCCTTGGCTTGCAGATGGCTGCCCCTTGCTGCCTCTTCACATGGACACCCCTCTGTGCACACACACCCCTGTTGTCTCTTCCTGTTCTCATAAGGACACTAGTCATATTGGTTTAGGGCCCTTAATGGCCTCTTTTTAACTTAATTACCACTTTGAAAACCTTATCTTCAAATAGGGTTACATTCTGAGATACTGGGGATTGGGACTACAGCATGTGAATTTGGGGAGGAACACATTCAGCCCATAATGATGTGCAGTACAGTTCAGCCTAAACTTTGGATTCCTAGTAGAGCAGGATTGAATCCCTGGTCCTCCAGTTATTGTCTGGGTTACCAGAAGAGGCTCTTTTGAGTCTCAGATTCTTCATTTGTAAAATACAAGAGAACCTACTTGATGGGGATTACGTTAGATAATGCATATGAAGTGCCTATGCACTCACTACGTGGTAGACATGTTCATTATTCCAATCGGGAGAGATTAAATGCATTTGGGAAAGATTAAAAACATTTTCACAACGATGTTGCCACTTAAGGTAGAGCTTGAAAAGTAGGTAGGGTTTTTTTGTTTTTGTTTTTGTTTTTTTTTAAATATTTTATTGATTTTTTACAGAGAGGAAGGGAGAGAGATAGAGAGTTAGAAACATCGATGAGAGAGAAACATCGATCAGCTGCCTCCTGCACATCTCCTACTGGGGATGTGTGTTGACAGTGGAAATGGAATGGGGGAAGGGCATTCCCCGTACAGGAAAGAATGCCCAGTGGCTGTGAGGATTTTGAGGGAAGAGTTTCTTGTTCAGTTTGGCCAGAGATGAAATATGTGAGAGAATTAGGGTGATAAACATTTGAGAGAGGCAAGTTAAACCCATATTATTGAGGGCCTTGAATGCATACTCTCTAGATACTGAAGAACCACTGAACCTTCTGAATTGTGTAAAACTGATTGGAATTCAGCTTTAAGAATATTAATATAGCAACATTATTTAGGTTATATAAAAGAGACATGATACAGTAAATGTAAGCATTTTTCTAGAATACCTGGTTCTCAAAAATGCCTTTATTTATTTATGTTTAGCACATATTTTATTAAGCAGTTACTATCTACCTGACCTTACACCAGACACTGGGGAGATGAATTAAAACCTGTTTTGTTTTTCTGCCAAGGATTTGACTTTTAAAGATAGTTTTATTCCTTCTCCTTTCCAGGTTTTGAAGAAGGGCAGAAATGTACTGAAAAAATTGTGGCAAAACACAAAGAGGTTCTTGAATCTATTACTGAATTATGCAGCTCTCTCACAGAGCTTGAAGAAAAGCTGAAGGTAATGTCTTCTCAGAATATGTATGTTCAAGTGGTATAAATAAAAACGTGTTCATCAGGTGTCTTCTGGTGCAAAGGTGTTCTAAGGGAAATTCTCAAGGGACATAATGTACACATTTGTTTCACACTTTTCTAACATAATTATTTGGGTGTTTCTGATACTTAATTCTGTTTCTTTTTCATCACTGCAGAGAAAACACATTGTTGAGAATGAGGGCTAAACACAATTAAGGTGTCTTGTTTACATTTTCATGGATCATATCCTAAAGGATAAATGTGCCCCATTAAAATCAAACTAAAGTCTGCATTAAGTAACCTTATGTTTTTATTCATAAATAATGAACGTAAGTTTTTATTTTCTCTCCAGATTGTGGCCCAAGAGAAAATAAAAATAAAACTGTGTTTCAGGTATTATGTTCATTGAACTATTAACTTAACGGAAATATTAAGCTAATCATTAGCATTATTCATAGATTAGAAAATCACTGCTATTTCTTGTAGGATAGTTTGGTATCAGGTAGTGTAATTCCTTCATCTATGTTCTTTTTTCTCCAGATTGATGTAGCTAAACAGGGTCTTTTGTAGTTCCATATAAATTTTTGGAATATTTATTCTAGTTCTGGGAAATATGCTATTGGTGTCTTGATAGGAATTGCATTGAATCTATAGATTGCTTTGGGTAGTATGGACTTTTTAATGATGTTAATTGTTCCTACCCATGAACACAGTATATGCTTCCACTTACTTGTATCTTCTTCAATTTCTTTCTTCAGTGTCTTATAATTTTCTGAGTACAGGTCTTTTACATCCTTGGTTAAATTTATTCCTAGATATTTTATTTTATTTTTTTGATGCAATAGTAAATGGGATTGTTTTCTTAGTTTCCCTTTCTGATAGTTCATTATTGGTGTTTTAAACTGCAGCTGATAATGCATATTGGTGCAGCCATTGTGGAAAGCAGTATGGAATTACCTGTGCTTCTCTAGTCATTTTATAAATTCCTATTTCACTGGTCTGCTACCCCCACATTCCCAGGTTTCCTGCTTCTAAACTTTTACTTCAAACACATGACCTACTATCTCTGTTTCTCCGAATCTTACCAAACACTGCCTCCTCCACATCACCTTCCTTAGGTGTCACTTCCTCTGGTCTCTCCTAGCATTGTGTTTTTTCCTGGCACAATCACCAATATAACTACCATTACAATCCCTAACTCACCTGCCTGTTATATCTGAGGAAATGCTATGGCTCTCTTCAGTATAGCACCCACACATTTGCACTATATTTTGCCTAAAGCAGCTTCTCCAGAAAGGGTTTTGATATTTATAGTAAAAACTCAAATGATTA